CAGCCCTAGGCCATACTGGCGTGAAGAGAAGCCCATCCACCTTTCCTGCCCAAATTACACAGGGCCCAGGTCAAAGTGCAGTTTGTCCTGTTTGGACCTCTCTGATGACCTAAGGGGTCGTCGGTCCCTGGAAGTGGGGCTGACCTGGGAAAAGCAGCACTGGATCCCCGGATAATCTCCATGACGACATCCAGAAAAGCAGGCCAGATAGAGACTGGGCATGGAGGCGGGAGGGAACAGGAGTTCCATGCCTGCTGTGAGGTCTCCCCTGACCAGCTCCATCAGAAGGAATTTAAAAAAGGTGGAGTGTGCTGTGAGGGCCCAGAAGGGGGAAGGGCACACATGGTGGAGGTGGGAGTGAGCAGGGACCAGAACAGCAGGCACTGGGTGAAGACATGGTCAGGGATGGGCTGCTGATGGGAAGTCCGAGATTCGTGATGTCGAAGTCAATGACATTTATGAATGCAGAAGTCTAAAGCCAGGGAACACAGGTGACATGGCAGTACTTAGGGTCGTCCCAACAGCAGGGCTGCAGGCTGAGCCCAGCTCTGGGGGAAGCCATTCCCTCACGAGCAGGCTGTCTCTCCTGCTGGGCTCTATTTAAAATTCTGAAGGAGGAACAGAGGTTTTCAGTTTGAAGGTCAAGGTCCACTGGAAATGCTAGGAGGTATTTAAGGGGCTAGCACACCCACTCAGCCTTGGCCACTTGTGTAAGTTTCACCTTTGCCGCATACAATATTGGTGTAAGAGTCTCAATCAAGAGACCAAACTAAAGATGTCACTGTGAGCAGACAGTGACGAGGGAGTGAGTCCCTCACCTCCAGGGGGGGCTTCCAGCAGCGGAGCCCACCCAGCCTGGCTGTTTTTCCACTGGCTGTTCTCAGACCAAGGACTCCCTGAGTGTAAACAGAGAAGGCAGGGGCCCGGGCTCAGCTTGAGAACTCGGCAGGACACAGGGAGGGGCGGATTGGATGGTGATTTGCTCAGGTTCCATAATGAGGTGCTTCTTTGATCAGAGGGACACACACATGAAACTGGGGAGAAGCCTAGGGGATCCCCCGCATCTGAGTCCAAATAATCAAGTCCCACTGCGGGAAGCTGAAGTGATCTGAGCCAGAGAAAAATTCTAAGCTCTGCCCAATATTTACATTTTAAAGTTCATTTTGGAGGGCTTAATTTAAATGTTGACACAACATTCGAGCAGCACTGCTGTATACCAACAAAACTTTTACATATAAAAATGACTGGACAACTGCATTATTAAAATTACAGTTCTCTTTTTCACAATGATCAGGTAGCATTTTTCATAGGAACTACAAATGTAAGATACTATAATTTATTGATTTAAAAATCAAGGTTCTCTACCATCTAGGTGGAGAGGATGGAGTGACGCAGCATGGGACATAACTCCCAGGCTGCTGGAAATTCAGGTCAGAGCAGAGCACAGGGAGAGCCTGGGGGAAAGCGGGTGGAGGCTCGCCTCTAGACACGGGACTTCTCCCACAGAGCTGCCCACTCAGGCTCCTGAACAAACACCCAGACTCCACCATTTCCACTCCAACAGAGAAAGGAGCAGATTTTTTTTGGTCACAGTGACATTCTGACTCTTTACCCCCGTGAAGGACTGGCACATGCTAATGGGGAACAAGGTGATAAAACAGGATGGTATTAATCAGGCTACTGTGTCCCGACCCTCTAACTTCTTTTTTTTTTTTTACCCAAAAAAGCAGAACAAGATTAATCATTATCATCTTACGTTTACCTTAAAGCCTTGGCATTTCTGTTAAGACACAAACACAAAAACACCACAAAAATCGTAATACCACTTGAAAAGACAGCAGTGATAAGACACAAGTTCCTCTGCCCTATTTTAAGACAGTTCACTGTCTGCACTTACGACAGCCCATGCAAGGGTTCCACGTAAACCCAAGTCTAGACATTGGGCTCAGAAACACAGCCTGCTTCCCTCAGAGACAACTGTCTTTGGGTCTTGAGCCCAAACACCCAGGCAGACAGGCAGGCACAGAGGTGAGCAAATCATGAGCGGCTGAATCAATGGGCACACACCTTCTTAGGTCCCTTCATCTTTGGAGTAAAAAGCTCTCCTGGAAAGCAAGAAACACATCAATTTGGCACCATCTGGTCACTAAAAGAATTGCATTTCTGAAGGCAAGTAAGGGATCTGATAAAGCCCACACAGCACCGTCCTCCAACCTCCAAATGCCCGTGATTGTTTCTTCCCAAGAGCTAAGGAGAGTTCAAATCACAGGACATTCAAGTCCCTTTGGCTTGATGACAGACACGAAACCAGACCCTTCTTACGAAGCAGACCCCAGGAGCACAGGTATCCATGTAGGTGTGTATTTCTTAGTCAAAAGCCTCTGAGTAGCGGAAGGTTTGAATGTACCTCATGCTTTCTTAGTCCTATATGCCTCATTCCTGGTGGGTCACTTCTTCAGGCAGGCAAACCTGAGCTAAAACACTTAAGATTGATTTCTAAGCTCACTTTCCTCATGACTAAAAGGAGGATGGTGGCATTTCTCAGAGGGTCACTGTAAGATGTCACATGTGAAGCACTGAGCTTAGTATACAGAGCGCACTAAGTGAGCTTCCGTACGACAGGAACAGCAGCTCCATGAGAGGAGGGACAAGAAACAGACAATACACGTGGACAGGACAGGGTCATGCATAGAGGGCATCGAAAAGCCATCTCTAAGACCAACTCAGGTCCTAGGGGAAGAAAATGTACAATGCTGGGGTCCAGGAACACTAAGCAGACACATTAGATGTACGATGTGCAGACATGAAAATACAGTATGCCCTCACATACAATACGTTCTGAGGGTCTTGTGGACACAGTCCTCCCGTTAGCCTGACACAAGATCAGCCCTTGACCTGCAGGTCAAGTTTTCTTAATCATTAGTCCCCACGTCAAATAAAATACTAACAAAAACAATGTTAGCTTTTTCATCTTTGGGGGAGAAATTCAGTGTTCAATTTAGTATTCCATGATTTCTTAAAGCAAAGCCACATTCGCCTGAGCAGGACCTGCCTGCTTCATCACAGACGATAATCACACGTCTGAGATTAAGCCTAGGATGGCTTCCTCTCCAGGCTTCTTAACTGCTCCTTAGCTTTGAGTTCTTCCAGTTTCTTCTCATAGCGACTCATGAAATAGCCGTCGGGTTCGATCCCTGCGTTCCTCAAGTTCTCCATGACCTTTTCCACTTGGAGTACCGAGCGGGCTCCCTCAATCTTTCTCGTGCTCAGGTACAGAGTGAACTCCTTGAAATCCAGGAGCTTACAGGTGTCCACAGAACAGATATTCCTGATATCACTAGTTCTGTCCAAATGAGGAAAAAACACCAGTCCTGACAATTTCTCTAGGTCCTGAAGGCTCACTTGGAATTCACGTAATTGGGGTTGGAAGCCAATGGCTTCATTGGGAACCACGAAGGCCCCTAGTGCCAGCGGTTCAGGGGACGCTGGGCTTCTGCGAGCCAGGATCACCTTATACAGGTGCGAGGGGACCGCCACATTGTCCTCACCAATCACCTGAAAAACAAAGCAGCCGTATTAGTCACGCTTATCTATGCTAGCACCTCCCAAATTTTTGGTGACAAAACTTTAGATGCATTTCTGAAAATGCAATTGTAAGATAACTCCACCCCATCCCAATGAACTTAAATTCAACTGCCAAAGGTAATAATAAACCAAAATACAAATTCACAAAGAAGATGAGCATTTAACAGGTAGATTCTGATCACATTCTTTAAAATAATGCCACCCCAAAGAGCAGGGGTCACATTCTCTGCTTTGTTTGTAGGACAAAGGAATGCCATGAGTGAGACCTGGGTTTTTTAATGGACAAGAAAAGCTGTCATTTTTGCTTTGTCTCATAATCAGAACTTCTGTTGCTCTAAACATTTAAAGGTCAAAACTGCCAGCTTGGGAACTCCCAGCTCTAGAAATAAAAATATAGCCTTTGTTTATCAAATTCACTAAGGAGCTAAGCAAACAGCCTTTAGAGAAGCAGCCAGACATACCCGATCGGTATTCCTATCTCCAGTATTGCCCAGACTGTGGCTCATTTTTTTAATTAAATTAAGTAAATGTAAATGCTGTTTGCTCAGAGTTTTGCACACTCTTGGGCCTGCTATCAGACGCAGAACTTCTGAATGTGTCATCAAATTACTTTGGAAAGGAATCCACACAAGGAAGAAGCCAGAACCAGAGTCATGGTTGAAAACAAGTTGGTTGCCTGTGTAGGTTGGCTGTAATAATGAACTAACATTGTTATGAAACCTTTTCAAAATTCCTTCCAATTGGCTTAAAAGCCATTATGTTTTCTGAAAAAACTGAACACCATTTCCTTAATGGTCTTTGGTAAAATGAGACAATACAACCACACTATGCTCATGGTGCTACTGCTCCTCCCAGGCCCTTCCAGGAGAAGGCAGCCTTCCTGAGCAAGCCTGCTTGCCGCAGGAGGCCCTGCCGGGAGCCCAGATAAGGCAGAGGAGAGAGCTACGAAGGGTTCTTTTCTGCTATTCCCAAGCTCCTACCTACATGGCACACAGCCTAACGAGTCCGTGGCCATCTGCTGTCTGGCACACATGGAGGTCCCACTGCCAAAACCAACCAACTGCAGAGCTGCAGGGAAGACCCATCCACAGGAACTTCAGTAACGCACTGTCTCTGAAGTTAGCCAAAGTGGTTGGTCAGGGTGCTGTTTAAAGCTTATGAAACTACACAGTCTACAGACACAAAATCCCCACACCCCTCCAACAAGTCATTTATGTAGCTGGGAAAACAAACATATTCTTCAAGACAAAAAAATATATACTGAAGGTGAACTCCATGGAGGTCTACAATTAGCCCATTGATCACCAACGGATGTTAATTCAACAAGGCAACTCAGAGGTCCTGTGCCTGGCACTGCTGGAAACACGGAAAGGAGTAAGCGTCAAATACAGCTGGTACCTGCTCTCAAGAAGCTTCCCATCTAGAGAAGTCAACGCCCAGCTTTCATGGCAGGTGGAATGTGGTGAGATGCTAATACACAGCACAAGCAACAACGTTAAGGGGATGGGTGCAGGGGAAGTCAGGGACCAGAGGTAAGGGTACCACTGCAGCTGAGCCATAGTTTACCAGCAGGGAGAAGTTTAATAAATGAGCTTCATTGTTCCAGGCGCTGGCAGGGGAGCCACAGTTAAGCAGATCCTTGGTGCCATCTGCTGGATATTCTCCAACACTGCAGCACAGGTCTCAGACTCCAACTACAAGGAGCCTTAGGGGCCATTCTTTTGATTATTTTCTCTCCTCATGGACTCTTCATCTACAAATGGCAATTTTCAAAAACAATTCATCGGTCATGTCCATTTGCTGCCAACCAGGGCTTCTAGTCAAGTTCTTTAAATTCCAGCCATAAGTAAAGAAGTTTGACATTTTAAGGTTCAGGGCTTTACCTCAAGGAAATGTACCATTTGTACTAGGTTTTCAAAAATTCTCACCATCGCTAGAGGACCTCTATCACTTTGAGAAACTTCATGGACACAGAGATTCCTACTGAGAACCACAAGGTGTGATTCTTCCACGCAAGACCTTCTTACAATATTTCAACAAAGAAAAATAAAATACTATCCCCAGGAATACAGAGAAAAATGAAAATGTAGCCACTTGCTATGCTTTCTGCTTCAGTCTGCTTTGTTCTCAGGAAGTATACATCTGTAACCTAACACAGGGACCAGTCCTGTTTGGAAATTCAGAAAGCCCATTGTTTCTTCCTTGAATCTAAGACTTAAAAAAAAAAAAAGATCCTAAACTTTTTTAGAGCTATCATCTTCTTTGTCGACAACTCAACCTACATGATACATTTTTCCCACTTTTAGGAGAACTGGAAGACTTTCAGAACATGTTTCTAGAAACTACTAGAAGCAGAATGGTCAGTGAACTCAAATTCCAGAGACCTAGTCAAGTCCTGGCTTTGCCACTAAGCTCTAAGTCCCGCCCACAGGTATCTTCTTTACTGATTCATAAAATAGGTAACGACAATCCCCAATGCTGCCTATCTCACAGGATAGTTCTGAAGACAAAGATGTGTTAGTTAAAAAAAAAAAGATTTTTAAATCTGTAAGACTTACATAACAATTTATTTTTGTAGTGGATGTCATTCAAAAGATAGGGGTGCAATTGCATTTGGTACAAAAGATGGTTCTGCAGGGGACAGTGGAGGAAGATGGGATCAAGCAAGATAAGACCAGTTAAAGGTAGACGCCAGGGTTTCAGGAGGAGAAAGCAGGCTGATGCCCTAAGCAAAGGACTCAAGGGCTTAACCTGAATGAGTCTTTAGTATCAGTAAATCAGCTACAATCCTTTTCATGGAAGATTTAGATATAAAAATACTTTACAAAGGACATCCTTGCTGCTTGTTAAAATACCAAAAGCACTGAACTCATGTCAAGATTGTAACAAAAACTGGAAATCAACTGGGAGTGACTAAAAAATGCAATATATACATATGTGTAATATCAGTCATAGAGCTCGCACACCAACTCATAACCTGAAGTTAGTTTTCATATATGCTGGCCTGAGCGTCCTTCCTTGCATGCAAGAGACAGAAATGACAATCTGCTGCCTCCCCCACCTGACCCCAACCCACAACTCCACACACAGAGTCGGACCTTCATGCTGACTCGGTGACAGAAGAGACTAGCAACAAACAGCCAAGTCTGTCGTTTTCATGTCAACTGTGCCTCAAGTGAAGTACCAGGTGGCATCATGAGGAAAATGTTATGTACCTGCTAGAATCAGATAGAGACAATATTTGGTTGCATTCCCCTGGCAAGACAAAAAAAGAAATTCCCAAAATAAAACTGTTGGACTCATCAAGAGACCAAGCCCTTAAAAAGCCCTGCCAATCAAGTGAAAGAAAGAAACCATGATACTGTGATAATCAGGGAATCCATACCTGAGGGGAACAAGAAAAGTGCGGGAGTCACAGGTGTGGAGAAGTTAACAGGGATGCGGCTGGCCAGCCCCTGTGTTACCTGTAACGCCTCTGCAGGTGCGTGTGTAGCAGCACAAACCCCCGGAGACTGTCTCTCACCCTGGGCTGCCTGCTCTGGGCAAGGGGGTGGGAGGCTGCCAAGTCACAGGAAAGCAAGCACCACCTTCCCCGATTTAGGGTGGGGATAGGTGATATGTAACCAGTAAAATTATTTATTTTTCAACCAAAACAAATAGGTATGGAAATGAAAACATTTATCTATAGAAAAAAGGAGATTTCAAAAAAATGACTGCCTGACCATTTCAAGTGATGCCTCAAGGTCCCTGGAGGCATGTTTTCAATTTCCTCCCCGACTAGGAGTTGGTAGAAGTTGGGAAAGTCACACTGCAGAGGGAAAAGGCTATTAAGCACTGCTAATATTATTACCACCACCACCACCACCACCACCACCACTGACTTGTAAAATCTGCAGCTCACTTTCTTGTCAGGTCAGTTATACTGTTCAGGCCAGAATCTTCAGGTATGTTTCACATGTCTGGAATCAACCTCTTCTTGAAACGCGCACATCAGGGAAAGCACGTGGATGACCTCAGCTATAATAAAGGGGGTGATTCTGATTAGAGCTGTCAGATGACTCACTTCTGATAACATCACTGCTGCTACTCTTCCCTTAGGCTCACATTCACTCAAGTCCTATGATGCTGTGATCCTTTCCTACACATTCTACCAGACACTTCTGCCTGGCTAGCAGGAATCCTCCTCTTGGCCCATTTTCTGTTCTTACTTTTGCGTGCTAGCAAATATCACTTGTAACCGATCTCCATCACATCATCTTTTACCTCTTGGCCTTAAGCTTCTGTGTATGAAAAGCATAGAAATCCCTTTGCGGGAGACGTTAGAGAGCTTCAAAGAACAATGCTATGAATAACTGGCAATTCTCATATAAGTAGACAAACCCATGTACGCATCTCCCCTTGACGATTACTAGCTATGTGACTTGTACTTGACCCCTCAAAACCTGAATTTCCTTGCCTATAAAAGAAGATAACCACCACACATTTATGTAAGGGCTGTTCACGCGGAGTGAACGAGAGAGCATGTCTAAAGCTGCTTACATACTGTGTGGTACATATGGCCCTCAATAAATGCCAGTTCATTTGCTCCACTTCCTCCAAAGTATACACACGTATGCTTCATGGCCTAGACAGAAAACTAACTGAACACCCTCATTTTTATTAGCCACATTCTCCTAAAATAATGTTCAGAGTACAGTTGCAAATAAGCAGTAAATATTAAATGGAAGGATCTGAGAAAACAAAGTCCTCCCCAGGTATTCTGAATTGCCATACGTAATTGTAAGACATTCCCTTGGAAACAGGAATCCACAATTCAAATATTTATTCCTTGAGAGGAACAGACCAGCCTCTAGGGCTGGGGAACACTGGGGCCCCTTCCTCAGCATCACTAAAGGACCTGCTTTTATCCACAATTGTTTCATTATCAATTGCTAGAGAACAGCCTGAATTTTTTTTATCTGGGCGTTCAA